TCCGCCCGTGTAAAGTACTTGTCTTGGCCCGTGTGCCTTGAGTATTTATCTCGTGCATGTTAGGGTTTTGTTTGAGAGAAGGAATTTGCTAGTCCTAATGTTGAAGTCAATATTTTCTCTCTTCACTTCTCTTGTTTCTTACACCAAGTTAGCTCACATAAGCTTATAGGTGTGTTTTGAGAAATTATTTGACATTCTCGAAGGTTTGTAGAATTCAAGCCAAGGTGGAGATTTATACATATGGCTTGAATTTTCTAAGCCAATAATTTATTTAGCCCATTAGGTTTTTTCCTTTATAGGTATAAGGTATTTAAACCTCCTTATGTCTCTATTTAGAAAATAGAGTAAAAGATAGATACTTTGTATTGAGCCTCTACGATTCTTGCATTCTCCTATTATCAAGCTAATAAAACTTCCTTCTTGCTCGTGAAGTACATAATTCATCGAACTATATAAATCCTATATATTGATAATTTGTTTAGCTTTATCTTTTAATTATTATCTATCATTACTTTTCTTGTTTTTGTTATTTTTCATAACAAGGCTCTATAGGTGTCATGATGCTCAAAATGAATATATTCATTCTCCTAGTGCCCTTTCATACACTCATACTTGAAGGAGGTGAATCATACTCATGAAAGAAAAGTCTTCCACTCAATAATTAATAAGACACAATGCACTAATGAGATGGAAACATGTTAGGTTTTGTATACTTTCGCTTTGAAAATCCATTGCAATATAGTCTTGGATTTACAAGAAAGTTATTATCAATTCCCTCGAGAGTAGTTGGTGTCCAGTTCATAATTTTTCATCAATGTATAAACCTCATAAGGTGGAAAGTAGCATGTGATTGAAGAAGGACCATTATCATTGAGAGTTATGTTAATAGGGTAATCATTCCCCTTACTATTAATATAAAATGAATGGGTATAGCTAATTGTCTCTACATGATAATCAATATCGATTAAGAGCACATTATTTTTATTATTCTTAGTCATTTTTTCACTAGATGTTTGGCGATAAAACATTTATCATATTGTCTTTTAAATATCTAGACAATCACTCGTCATAGTTGCTTCTTTGCCTTCCTTATCAAAGCTAAAAATACTAATAAAATTGGAAAAATTTGGAGTTTTTAGTTGAGATTTGAGCAATTGAGGCATCAATGTCATTAAAATCTTGCAAATAGGGTGTGAAGTGGCTAGGAGTGACTTGACGGACTTGTATGCTAAAGTCCTCTTCCATCAACTCGGTTCGATCATGAGCAATAACATTCACTTAGTTGTGATAACAATTCGGTATTGTGACAAGGGATTTTCTTACACATAATCGTTATTGTCAAGAATGATCTCTCTTTTAGTGAACTTGTCATGGAATAAGAACCTCAAGTTTTCAATCATGGCATAAAAACATGGCCATATGACAACTATGGTAGGGACCTAACAGATGGGTTAAGGCAAGCCACCTCTTAGAAAGTTATCATTACCAATTTGGAGGATTTTTTGCATTATTGTCATTCTTTTAGTATTGAAAAGGTCGATGTTGTCAATATTGTTATTAGGATCAAGTAGGGTCTCATCAACATTATACATGGTTGAGCTAGTTGCATAATTTACATTCTTCTGGAGGATTTTGGAGACATCATTGCTTTTTTCCAATTACTAACAACCTAGTAGAGTTCCTAAAATATGTAAAAAAGTTCCCGAGAACAACTAAAAGATATGGCAATAAACCCATAAAGCTAGTATTGTGATTATAGATATAACGACTATAAAAAAAAAAAAAAAAAAAAAAAAAAAAAGTAAAATATGTGCAAATAGTAAGAGTGTGGGAAAAGGAGCAAGCAATGCTAGTAAGGCACAAATAAAGTGGCGAGCAACTAGAAGATCAAAGTCTAAACATATGGAGTTTTAAGAGATATCTAATATATAAGTAAGAGAGCTTTGATAGAAGATAGGGAGTTCAAAGATTTTGTTAAAGATTAAAATATTGGAACAATGGTGTAATGTTGCTATTTATAGTGAAATGAGGATGATCATTGATCATTAGGATCTTACCACATCATTTGCCATGTCATCCATGTTTGAACGATCGATTTGAATTTAAGAAAATTGAGTTCTTTTGAGTAAACTACTTGACTTGCTAGAAAATGCTAATAATAATAATAATTAGGCATTCTTTTGATGAATCTTACTCGAACCTAACAAGTTAATCTTTCTAATACATTCCAAAGACAAGCCACAAACACTAACCTTATCAAAACATTCATGTCCATCCTTGTATAGTCCAAAGTCATTTTATGGAGGAGTCCATCATCGATCCAATCAATTTAATATATAGTTTGGATCCATGTCAAAACCTTGAAAAATGAAATGGATTAATACATAATCCAATTAATAAAATTACTTAATTATTTTTTGTAGACAAATTGAGCATATACAATTTTATTTTTACATAATTATTCTAAATGGCGCTTGTGAAGTTGTCTCAAATGATAAAGAGAATATTAGTTCAAGTTAAAAGTCTTGGGTTTGAGTTTTATCACTAGCTTCTTGCAATGGTGACATATTTAACCTTGTCAAAACATTCATATCCATCCTTGCATGGTCCAAAGTCTTGTTTTTTAGGAGTCCATCATCGATCTAATCAATTTAATGTACAACTTGGATCCATGTGAAAATCTAAAAAAAATAAAATGGATTAATAAATAATAAAATTACTTTTTTTTAAAGATAAATTGAGCATATATTTTTTTTATTTTTTCATAATTATTCTAAATGGCTCTAGCAAAGTTGTCTCAAATGGTAAAGAGAGGATTAATTCAATACAAAAATCTTAGGTTCGAGTTTCATCACTAGGTTCTTGCAATGGTGACATATCTATCTTCTATTAATCTCAATCATAAAGCTATTTTAAAATTTGGTTCCTACATAGATGTGGTAGAAGTAACTCAAAATATGTTTGAATGTCGAAGGTATAGTGCTCTCTACCAAATATATAATTAGATTATCCATACACCCATCATACATACACAAACAAACACACACACAAATACGTAAAAAAAAAATCGAATTTGTTTTGGTTTTTGAAATTTTTTGTTCAATTTTCCTTAAAAACCGTTTAAAAAAAAATACAAAAATTAGAACATGTTTGAATTTTTTTATTTATTTGAACTTTGATAATTCGATTTACAACATATTAAATCATCAATGATTTTTTATTATTAAATATTTTAGATATGAATTAGTAAATTTGTATTTAAATTTTGATATCATATTATATAGAATAAATTTTTTTTATTATTTATTTTATATGTGTATTAGTAGATTTGTATTTAAATTTTAAAAGTATCTAATTTCGATACATGAATGTTTTTTCCAAAACCATCCTAATAATTAAAACCAAAATAATAACAATATTTCAATAGCAATTGAATTCGCAAATAATTTTGTGAGAAATACATTAGAAAAGACAAGTAGAAAAAAATGTGCTTTTTTTCCAGTTCCAATTGATTGATAGCTAGGCCTTCATGAGTTGGTTGGTAAGTACTTCTAGATGCCATTACATGATCACTTGTCCTTCAGGTTAACATACACCAATCTATAATGATGGAAATGGTGACCGATAAGATTGATAGAAATCCACGTGTATATGTATATATTTAAAAAGTTGACATTTTGAATATATATTATTTAAAAAATTGAAATCAAAATCTGCGGTGCATGTGAATACATGATCCACCATTTCATAAATCCAAAGTAAAAGATCCAAAATATTCATCATATAAATGGGTGCATGAACCGCAATTTTTCCCATTTTTATGCTGAATATTTTGGATATTTTACTTTGGATTTATGAAATGGCGGATCATGCATTCACATGTACGGTGGATTTTGATTTCAACTTTAATATATATATATATATATATATATATTCACTTTTTAAATTAAATTAACATCAGGTTACCTCTGCTTTAAAATCAATTCTGGGAGTTTGAATTTTTAAATTCATTAATAATTCATGTTAAATATGATATGCTAAAAATATATTTTTTTAAAAAAAATTGAACTTCTAACCTGTTAAATCAAAAACACATACTAATACCACTCCATCTTATATTTAATTTAGTTGGTTGGAGGGTAAATTTTCGACTTTTCACATATCACCACCTCACCAAACAAGCTTTAACCATAATTGCCTCACTACAGACAAGTACCCGTGAACCGAAACACGCTAAGATTAAGGTCTCTTCCACTCTATCCACCATTTATCTAACTATTAACAACAATAATCTGTCGTTCTTGGAACTTCGAAGTGGAAATGATATGATCACGCGATTCATAAAGAGTCGTTGATCAAGCTTCATAGATTAGATATATAGAGCATGGGCATAGGGGCCGGGACCCTTTGTCTCTCCCATTACAGAATAAAGCCACTAAAGAATGTGAGATGATATATATATATATATATATATCTTTTTATACTATTTAGCTATTCTCACGAGTCGTATGTGTTTAAAAGCAGTACTGGGTTTTACTTTTACCTGCAAAAGGAGCAACGAGACGAAGAAAACGAGTATTAATTTGTTGCTGAAAAACGAAGAGAGAGAATATAGAATCTCGAGAGAAGATGGTTAGCTAAAAGCTTGAATACGCGTGATGAAAGCTGGAACCTTTTTTCCCTCTGTTTATAGCTGTATTCACACACACAGAGACAGGGAGAGAGTCCTCATTTTGTCTTGACGCAATCATTAACATAATAAACAAACAACAATCTGAACCGTCTCTTACTCTCCCTGCTATCTTGTTCACTAAACCCAGCATAGCATTAGCATTAGCTAGCTCTATTTCTCTATTAAAGCAGAGAAGAGCATAGCAATAGCTACTAGCTAGCTCTATTTCTCTATTGAAGCAGGGGTCTGCCAAAGTCTTCTCTCTGTTAACTGCATGCCCCTCCTGTGCTCAAAATCAATCTTCGTCTGTAGGCACTGAAAGAGAGAAATGAAGCCATTGAAGATGCACACATTTACATTTACCATCTCTCTTTTTATTATTCTCCTTCTGGGTGTTTGCCACGGGTCCAGCGCAACACTATTGACGGAGGAGAAGGAAAAAACTTACATAGTTCACATCTCCAAATCTGAGATGCCGGCGAGTTTTCAACACCACACTTACTGGTACGATTCCTCGCTCAAATCGGTATCACAGTCTGCCCAAATGCTCTACACTTACGAGAATGCAATCCACGGGTTTTCCACTCGATTAACAGAAGCAGAAGCCAAGTTACTGGAGAGACAACCCGGGATTCTCTCTGTACTGCCTGAGTTAAGATACGAGTTACACACAACTCGTACCCCTGAGTTCCTCGGACTCGACAAAAGTGCTAATGTGTTACCTCAGTCTGAATCAGTTGGTGAAGTGATCATTGGTGTGTTGGATACTGGTGTTTGGCCAGAAAGTAAGAGCTTTCTTGATACTGGGCTTGGTCCTGTGCCTAGCAGCTGGAAAGGCGATTGTGAAGCAGGCACCAACTTCACAATAAAAAGTTGTAACCGGAAATTAATTGGTGCAAGATTCTTTGCTAGGGGCTATGAGGCTACATTAGGCCCAGTTGATGAATCAAAAGAATCAAGATCGCCAAGAGATGATGATGGCCATGGCACTCACACTGCTTCTACGGCAGCCGGATCGTTGGTCGCAGATGCAAGCCTTTTTGGATATGCAGTTGGAACAGCTCGTGGGATGGCTGCCCGTGCCAGGTTGGCTGTCTATAAAGTGTGCTGGATTGGTGGTTGTTTTAGTTCCGATATTTTGGCTGCCATGGATAAGGCCATTGATGATGGTGTTAATGTTCTTTCCATGTCACTTGGTGGAAGCATGTCTGATTATTATAGAGATAGTGTTGCAATTGGAGCTTTCGCTGCTATGGAGAAGGGAATAATAGTCTCTTGCTCCGCCGGTAATGCAGGTCCAGGCTCATATAGTTTGTCCAATGTTGCTCCTTGGATAATTACTGTTGGGGCTGGCACGTTGGATCGTGATTTCCCTGCTTTTGTTAGTCTTGGTAATGGGCGAAATTACTCTGGTGTTTCTCTTTACAGAGGGGGTGCATTGCCAGGAAAGCTTTTGCCATTTGTTTATGCTGGTAATGCTAGCAATGCAACAAATGGGAATTTGTGTATGATGGGCACTTTGATCCCTGAACAAGTTGCAGGGAAAATAGTGCTTTGTGATCGTGGAGTGAATCCCAGAGCGCAGAAAGGAGCTGTAGTCAAAGCAGCTGGTGGTTTAGGCATGATTTTGTCCAACACTGACGCCAATGGAGAAGAATTGGTTGCTGATGCTCACTTACTGCCAGCTACTGCAGTTGGTGAAAAAAATGGAGATGAAATTAAGGATTATTTGTTATCAGATCCAAAACCGACGGTGACCATTCTTTTTGAAGGTACAAAAGTTGGGATTGAACCATCTCCAGTGGTTGCGGCATTCAGCTCAAGAGGGCCTAATTCCATCACAGCGGACATCTTGAAGCCAGACATGATTGCGCCAGGTGTCAACATCTTGGCGGGTTGGTCGGGCACGGTTGGTCCTACAGGGCTGGCAACAGATAGCAGGCGCGTGGACTTCAACATTATTTCAGGCACCTCAATGTCTTGCCCCCATGTGAGCGGACTCGCTGCACTGCTCAAAGCCGCTCATCCTGAATGGAACCCAGCAACTATCAGATCAGCACTAATGACCACAGCCTATGTAACTTACACGAATGGCAAGAAATTGGAAGATATTGCTACTGGAAAAGATTCTACACCATTTGATCACGGAGCCGGACATGTGGACCCAGTTTCCGCACTCAATCCAGGGCTTGTTTATGATCTCACGGCAGATGATTACTTGAATTTCCTATGTGCGTTGAACTACTCTGCAACAGAAATCAACAGCCTTGCTAGAAGAAAATTCACATGTGATGCTTCCAAGAAATATAGCGTGGCCGATCTCAACTACCCTTCTTTCGCAGTCAATTTTGGTAATGGTGGTCCTAATGTGGTTAAGCACACACGAACTCTTACTAATGTGGGTCCAACAGGGACATACAAGGTGTTAGTATCATTGCAATCTGCAGGGGTTAAGGTATCAGTTGAACCTGAAACATTGAGTTTCAGTCAAGCAAATGAAAAGAAGTCTTATACGGTCACATTTACTGGAAGTTCAATGCCACCAAATACTAATAGCTTTGGCCGAATAGAGTGGTCTGATGGGAAACAGACTGTTGGAAGTCCAATAGCAGTTAGTTGGACTTAGGAGGAGAATATTATTGAATTGATAGGAAAAAAGGGTTTGATACCACTCGAAGAGTGGAGTGCAATTGCATGCTTGTTACCTTTTGTATTCTGAATATGTTATATTTTGTTATATTTGCAGCAAATAAGAGAAGGCTGGAGGTAGTGTTTGATGTTGTTCTTTGAGAAAGAAAACAAGACGAAAACAGCTCTTTAACCTTTCATCATTGTTCCACCTTTCATCATTGTTCCAATGTCTCCTCCTTTCCATTTCCGTCCATTTCCATGACTAATAGTATATGCACATAAAATTTTAATTTCGTTTATAAAGTTTATGAAATATGTAAAATATCATTAAAAAAAATATTAAAAATAAAATAATTGACTTAAAATTAAGAAAAATAAAAATATTGCTATGAAATAATGAATATTTATGTGAATATTCAAAAACTTTTCATATCCTTACTACTTATAATTTTTAATATGATTTAATTTACTATTCAGTATGAAAAATTAAAAGGATGATGTAATTGATTCAACAATTTATATACTTTTGATTATTTATAGTCTCTTTCAATTCTCTTTCCAATTTGTTGATTGTTCATTAATTTGTCTATAAGTATTTTACGAGAGATTCGGAAAATTGTTTGGAGTTGTTATCTCTTTGTATTCACTTTATTTTATAGTGAATTCACTTTCTTATGATCTTTCTCTTCAATTATACTATTGCATTCACTTTCTTATCATCTTTCTCTTTTAATTATTTATAGTCCATTTCAATTCTCTTCATGATTGTTAATTACTTTGTGTACAAGTATTTTATAGAGATTGAGAGAATTGTTTAGAGTTGTTATATCTTCGTATTCACTTTATTTCATAGTGAATTCACTTTTTTTATCATCTTTCTCTTTAATTCTACTATTGTATTCACTTTCTTATCATCTTTCTCTTTTAATTATTTATAATCCCTTCCAATTCTCTTTTCAATTTTTTTGATTGTTCATTAGTTTGTGTACAAGTATTTTATAGAGATTGAGAGAATTGTTTAGAGTTGTTATTTTTTTGTATTCACTTTATTTTATAGTGAATTCACTTTCTTATCATCTTTCTCTTCAATTATACTATTATTATTATCATTTCTTTTATAACATTTTATTAACATGAAGCTCTAACCAATCAAGATAATAAACAATGAGGTATGTATTTATCAAAAGACTCAATCATTGGATTTTTTTTTTTTTTTTACACAAGTGCTCTACTAGAAGATCTAATTTATCTTTTGCTTTAAATCTAATATACATACGGTATACATTTGAAAACTTTGAATCATTTAATACATAGAACCAATGATCTAAATTATGTTGTTTGAAAAACTTTGATTTTATTATTATGTTTGTTATTATTTTCTAACATCATTATTATATATTGCATTATAGATGTTTTATCATATCAAACCTCATAAACTTAGTTTTGTGCCCTTTATATTTCGAACAAGAATTATTCATTATGAGTGCTTGATTCTGAAAAAATATTTTCTATTTTTCATGCCTCGAATGTGCTCTTGCAGTAGCAATATCAAGAAAAATATTTTAAATATATATGAATTGATTTCATGTTTCGAACAAATAATGAGTTATTGATGAAAAATCATGAATTTCGTCTAACTAGTTCTACTCCATTCCTTGAAGTGAACATGACAACTTATAATAATTTTGGACATAAATGTGATCGTAGCTATAATTATTATCATGTTTAGAATAATTAATGTATAATTATGGAGTTCATAATAATACACCATATCATAAGAAATGGATAAACTATAGTGATCATAATAATACATCTTACCACAAAAAAGTAGATAAACTATTGAAAAATAAAAATAAAATTGGATTAAGCAATCATTTTGAAAATGAATGTTATTGGTATCACATAAAGAGACATTGATCGCGTATCCGTCATATGTCGAAACATCTTGTTGAGCTTTATCAAGCAACATTGAAAAGAAAGAAAAATGTAAAGAACAATTTTATATATTAAAATGATAGGAATTGAAATTAATAATTTGTTAGCTTTTCTATTAATAAATAAGATGTTTTATATTTTTCTATAATTTCTATTGTACGAGAGATAGATATAAGTTTTATATTTTCCTATAATTTCTATTATATAAAGATAGATATAAATTTATCTTGCCATATATTTCTTTATTCATTTATGTTTACAAAGAATATATTTATTTATTTTATGTTCATTTAATTATTTATTTTATTTTAATACTATATTTGATACTATCAATCTAATAGAGAGCTCCTAAAAAACGGATATATTATTACCTAAATAGATAAATTTTGAAAGCTCTAAAAGAGCAAATATATTATTATATGAAGAGATAAATTTTGAAGGTTCTAGAAGAGTAAATATATTATTACTTAAAAGAATAAATTTTGGAAGCTCTAGAAGGGCAAATATATTATGATCTAAAAAGAAAAATTTTTATTATAAATAATATATTATTCTCTCCAAAGTCTAATAAACATTTGTTGTGTTTCAAAAATATTCATTTAAATGGATGTCATATCGAGACGAAAAATGTTGAGAATATTGAATACTTATATATTACAATAAATATATCGAGTAGAAAATATATATTTAAGTAATTGTCTCGTTTTCTCTTTTGATCTTTTTTACAAACATTCGAGTGGTTGAAACAAATACTATAGTAAACCGAATTTTACTAATACATATACTTTTATTATATTGCATGACTGGTTGAGCTATCCTAGGTCTTTCATGATTTGAAAATTATTAAAAATTTATATGGACATCTATTAAAAAGCAAGAAGATCTTCAATTCAATGAATTTTTATGTTATGTATATTGATTATTAAGCCATCACCAAGTAAAATTGAGATTAAATCTTCAGTATTTTTAGAATATATTTAAGGTGATATATATAAACTTAGTGGATCATTTAAATATTTTATGATTTTAATAGATGCATCCATAAGATGATCACATGTATACTTATTGTCTACTAAAAACCTAGTGTTTTTAAGATTGCCGACTCAAATAATTCATTTACAAACACAATTTCTAAATTATACCATTAAAATAATTTAACTTAATAATGTTGGTGAATTTATCTCTCAAGCTTTAAATGATTATTCATTAGCTATTAGAATAAAGGTTAAATAGATCGTTACTCATGTTCATAATCGGAAAGATTTAGTAGAATCATTTATCAAAAGACTTCAATTGATAGCTAAACCATTACTTTTGAAAATAAAACTCCCCGTTTATATTTAGAGACATACAATCTTATATGCAACAATACTTATTTGCATCGGACACACAAGTTATCGAAATTCTCTCCCTTTAATTGGTTTTTGATCATGAACAAAATATTTTTCATTTAAGAATTTTTGGATGTGCAATATATATTCATAGTGCTTCTCCACAACAAAATAAAATGGGCACTTAAATGAGATTATAAATATATATTGGATTTGAATCTTTTTCAATAATTAAATATCTTTACCTATGAACATGAGATATTTTTACGAACTCGATTTATCGACTCGTCATTTTGATAAAATAGTTTTTTCAACATTACGGGGAGAGAATAAATAAAATATGTAGTTGAAAATGTTGAAAAAAAGAGATTCATGAAGTACTCCATCTTTATATCATCTAGATTCTTGTACAAAATAATATAAACTAAACATTCAAAAAAAAAATATTTACAAAGTGTTGCAAATCAACTCGTCAAATGCTTTCTCATATCCAAAAAGAATAACTAAAAGGTATGTCCTCGCTGAGAATTCTCCTATTAGAATTGATGTTCTAAGAAGGACAATATATTAATGTTATAGTAAATAAATCTAAAACATGCTTGTAACGTGGAAGACTCGATCGATGCTAAAGATAAAAATTTATAAAAGAAAAGAGCAAATAATCAAGATGAAAATATAAATGATGCAAATATTCACAAAACAATCGAAGATATTTCTAATAATAGGCTTCTAAAAGAAGTCCAAATGCTTGAGAAAAATCAAGAGACTTTGATAAAGTATGTTAATATAGGAAGAAAATGAGGCTAAAAAGAAACATTTATTGATTATATTTTTTCATATAATATCACATTTGATATTTTGAATAAGGATCCCGAGCCTAAATCTATTGAAGAATGCCGACATAGAGATGATTGGCTTAAATGGAAAGATGAAATCCATGAAGAATTAAAATCTCTCATGAGACAAGCAATTTTTGGACTCATAGTCAAAACATCCGAAGATGTTAAGTCGGTAGGATACAAATAAGTATTTGTACGAAAATAAAATGAAAAGGATAAAATTATGAGATATAAAGCAAGAATTGTAGCATATGGGTTTTCACAAAGACTTGGCATTGACTATGCTAATACATATTCTTTTATAATAGATGCAATTATATTTTATTATCTTATTAGCTTGACAACACATGAAAAACTTTATATGCATTTAATGGATGTGATCATAGCCTATTTATATGGGTACTTGATAATGATATTTATATGAAGTTTTAGAAGGACTTAAAATGCTTGAAGCATGTAAAATATATCCTCGAAAGATGTATTCAATTAAATAACAAAGATCTCTATATGGATTGAAACAATCTAGGTGAATGTGGTATAATTGTCTTAGAGAGTATTTATTGAAAGAAGGTTATAAAAATAACCCAATTTATCCACATGCCTTTATAAAAAAAATCCAAAAATAGGTTTGTGATAATTCTTGTATATATTGATGATTTAAATATAATTGAAACCCCTTAAAAGATTCTAAGTGCCATAAATTATTCAAAAAAAGAATTTAATATGAAGACCTTGGAAAAAAAATTTTTATCTCAGCTTGTAGTTTGAACACTTAGATGATTGAATTTTTATTCATCAATCAACATATATATATATAAAGTACTACAATGATTCTATATGTATAAGACTCATCTATTGATTAATTCAATGGTAGTTCATTCACTTAATGT